CATTATTGGTAGTACAGGCTATGATATTTGTGTATTAGCCAGGATAGGTCCCCTAAAGGACTGGCGCCTTTGACTGTGGGCCTGTGTCCATTACACACAGATCGTGATGTTCTCATTCGTCCAGGTATCAAAAGCTGGCTGCATTAGAGGATGGTCTTGAAGGTGTCAGCGATCGTGTAGGGTAGTGGGCAGGAAGTGAATGGGTTCAACATTCGACCAAACCGATCACCACGTGCCCCAAACTTCGTTTGAACACTTCCGATTGAATTTGGCCACGAGGAAATCCTTGATATCCTTTGAGTCAGGTTTACTGGAATAGGAAAGACATCGAGCTATCCAAAAGCGAGCCATTCTCTTTCTGTAGACCTGTTCTTATGGGGTTGCATGTAACTAAATAGGACATTGTCCCTGCACCAGGATTGTGATGGGGTGTGAGTTATCATCGTACCCAGGCCAAGTGTCAGAGGCCTACCCCACGCTATGATTCTACACAGACATGGGGTCATAAATCCCTAATGGCTGCCTATGAATGTGCGCTTGGCCTCATGGCTCTCGTGGCTTGGCTTGGCTTGCCGATTCCAAACCGACACGAATACCTTGTCAAAATAGGCGCAATTGCTAAAGCTGCCGCTGCTGCCATTTCACTCAACAGTTCATGGAAGAGGAGAGGCGCCGGTACCGAGCATTAACCATGGAGTAGGAAACAATCGTCGACGAAGTTCGATCACTACCCGAGTTCAAAGACTTCTTGCGACCTCCACGATCATCATATCTCAAGAAGGCTGCTCGAAGCGGTCCTATCATTATTTGAAATGTAGCTAAAGAACGCTGTGACGCTCTTGGGCTTCTTGAGAGGCGTCAAGATATAACCCACATCCCGCTTCCCAACCTCACATCCAAGGAAGTAATGAGGCTTCGAGATGAGCTGAAAGACCTATTACGCTCAGGCGGTATTCGAATGAGAGGAGAGCGGGCAGCAAGGAAAGTGAGAGATGAAACTGACAACGAAAGCTGCAAACATATTCTTGCAGAGAGATTGCAAACGAATTTTACGGTCATGAACGACCTGATAGCAGGAAGGCAGCGGAGGCCTTGCATCACTCACTGCGACAGCTTCCAAGAGACCAGGAGTCCAGCTTACGGATTGGATTCCATTCGTGCACCTGGGTATCTAGAGACTATGACCTCAAAGTTTTCCTTATAACTTTTTGTTAAATCAGCCGCAATCCAGCTTAGGTCTCTTGTATAATCCCCTAGCTAAGTCACATTTACAGCCGAGCTATCAGCCGAGTAAAACCAGGTCCCAAAATCGGTGTTTGTTCGTAAAACAAAATCAAATTCACATCTCACTCTACCTGGTCGTTACTATGTAGGATCCGTTGAAGTGAGATAGGAGCCGAAAGGGTAGGATTAACTCGCTTTGATATTCATACGAGTATCGGGTAACTGTACGCGGCAATAGGGGTGACTCGAATGTAATTCAGTCGCACCGCGCTAATTACACTTGGATATTATCTGCGTGTAGCGGAAGATTCGGTGGCAATGATGCGAGGTGAACAAATCCGTCAGTGTGAGTCTACGAGAACAGGAAATGAATGTCTGGTCTATTATGTAATGACCGAATTGTCAAGGAATGGAGGTGAGGGTGAGGAGATCTCCTGAGATCTAGGCCAGCTGATATTTGATTGTAATAAAGTAGGTCAATCGATTAAAAACTGAACATGGGGTTAGACCTCACCGTATCACCCAGGAAAGCACTGACCAAATATAAAAGACGTGTAGTCCGAGTCTCCTGCGCATTAACGGAGCGGCCCTGTATGAGATACCAGATCTATGGAGGTTGAGAAATTGTATTACCCAGACTAGTAGCGCTTTTTCGGGCCTCGGGCGTACCGGTCGACGGCAGGACCGAGGCCCGAAAAAGCACCACCACGGCCGCTGCGTCACCGCGCATGGCGGCTATGAACAGCAGGTAATGGTGATAATTGAAAATAGATAAAGGTCGTTAAAGGTGCCGCGATATAAATAAACAAAGGTGAGGTTGATGAAATTAAGCCTCAGGCGTGAAGTCGTGATATCGATTGTTATGATCTTCTTTTCTATTATAAGCTTTGTGGCTTTGGGAAGGACTTAGTACTTTCATGTGTTTGGAGTGAAAATGGCGCACCAAATTGAACAAATAAGAGGCTTGTAGCCTAAATGAACTCGAACATGTTCTTCGATTCGATTGCGACGTTCAATGGGGTGCATCCATGCACAAAATTTACAACGTTTTTTATTAGAAACGACCTCGTAGAATGAGTCATAAACGTCGTGGGGTATGGTACCGGAGGTGTCCCGAACCACTTTCTGCTTCGAAGCCTTTCGTGGGTCGTCAACATGCCAAGGTATTGCACAGACAGGAATCTCCTTTAGAGAGAGATGGCGTCCACGCCTGCGATTTAAATTTTTATTGGTAGATGTATCCATGATACTCCACACTGAAGAGGGCGAGAATGTGGCGTCCTCAGAGGATCCACAAGATTGTAGATTGTATCCTATATGGATTTAATGTCAATTTAAATGTAAAGAAAAGCGTAAGACTAACCAAGTAGCATCCTGGATGCTTGGTTGGCCTGGATAATATCGTCAACTTGATGATAGTTACTGGAGACTCGTGTCTCAGGCAGTCTGGATCTGACCAGATGATCATCCCTCTTCCAAAGTGAGGCATTAATGGTAATTGAGGTTTGAAAGTGATCACTCACCACAGAACTTGAGCCAGAAAACTTGAATAAATAATCAGCTTTGGGTCTTGTACCCAAATAAGAAGGTGAGGACGTACTTCTGACTCAGTTACATCACGACCAGTACTGGTCGAATGCGGGTTCATATAAGGGGAATTTGTAGTGTTTGATGGCAGCAGCACAGATGAATATCTCAGTGGAGCTGAATGTGGGATTCGAAGATCCCTTTGAGGTAGATATGGAGTTCGGAGCTCAGAGCTCGGGAGATCGATATCGATCGTTGTGCAAGCGGGAAGTGAAGGAGATGCCCCCCAATATCCGCAAGGTGATGAAATAGGTTGATGAACGTATTGAAAATCG